ATTTGTGATCCTTCTTTCTGAATAGGTCATATAAGGTCTAGAACCAACGTAATTTGTCAGTTTGTATATTATGCCTCTTCATTTTACTTTGGATAAAAACTAAGAATAAATTCAAATATTATTTTTTTTTTTTTTTAATTGATCTTTTAAAGCCCGGCTTCTATGGCCATTAGCTGATTGTAGGGGTTTTTATTGTAAGTAGTAGGGTTTGCAGTTGTAGGGTTATTACACGTGTGTGTTGTGTTTGGCAGAATTTCTATTGGGGCACCCGTAGGTTTCTGCCATGCCCCGGAGTGGGGGATGGCGGCACTTGTTCTCCGGACACCGTGACTTGCCCGGAGAAAAATGCCGCCCAGTGGTCGAGAGAATCGTACCCGCGACCGCCAGCACCGCAGACGACGTGTTCGACCACTCGGCCACCTCGTCCCCCAAATTCAAATAATAGGCACTGACATTTTATAATTCAGTTATTATATACGATAGTGTTTAAATTAGGTGAATGATTATCTATAACATGTTGAGACTTCTATAATGTTTTCATTTGGACTATTTAAACATTTCAACAATTATTATAATATGATGTCATAATTAGCTAATAGAAATTCATTAGTGACTATAATAGTTGTATTAGATAAAGCATAATACAAATATATTTGATTGATAATTAATATCGCCTTAAATAATAATATTAATAAATAATGTGGTTGCTAAGTATATCGTTGTGTCACAACAAATATGTGTTGTACAATTAATGTCCTAAATCATTATTATTTACTTTTATTCAACCATAATAATATAATAATATTAAATGTTTGTAAATTAATAATTTCAGATTTTCAATATTTTATTAAATTATATAAATTAGTTTAATTTTCTAAAACTTCAATTTAATCTGCGAATATTTATTGTATTAAGATGTTTTAATAACTTGATATTTTATTTTAATACTTTAAATATTGAAGTGGATATATTATTTAGGTATTGTTTGTTATAATTAAAAATTGTTAGTTTCGTCTAACAATGAACATATAATATTGTGTTAATACAGCCAATTGTCTCCGCTGTATTTAATGTTCAATGCCACTGTCAATAAATTATTCAATACATTTTCCTAAAAGTCAAAACCCAGATTTTTGTCTGAGAAACCCTAAAATTAGTATAGCTTACTATAATTAAATGTCAATATTTCCTAAGTACAGGTAAAGAAAATCTTAACTAATGACGGTGGTTAATGTCAAAATTTATTTTAATTTCATTGATTAAGAGGACGTGATACCCGCGTGTTGTCTCCGTCTTACAAGTGCGTAACATAGCAAAGTTTACACAAAGCAGAACACTGTTAATTTAAAAATTAGAGTGAATTGACCCCATATAAAATCTAAAGGTAAGACTATTATCTAGACAATCTAATGGGCTTTTTATTATATTTTAATTTTAAAGCGAGCTAACATACATTTCGCCAGCCCCCCCCCCCCCCAAATACAATTTTTTAAATTTTTTTTTACTAAACATTAGTGTGCCATAAGTGTGAATTTGTGTGACCATTTTCAGAATTTGTGCGATACTGGTTTAACCTTAAAATCAAAAATATATATAGAGGGCTGGCGAAATGTTCCCCAGCATCTACTCATGGAAAAAATTACATTTTTAAAATTTTTCTATTGCCAAACATAACTTCGCCGTTAGTGTGAATTTATGCGACTACAACCAGGATTTGTGCGACACCCGTTGTACTCGGAAAAATCGTTTTTCCTTTTTCAGCATTTCCCCTCATGTGAAAATTACATTTTTAAAAATTTTCTTTTGCCAAACATTTGTGAGCCGTCTTCCAGGTAAGTAGAAACATTTAATTTTAACATTGGACCAAAACCAAACATTTTCATATTCAGTAATAACCAATTTTACTTTATGTACACAGATATAAAATAAGACCTTTATAGATTGCAGGCTCGTTTAGAAAAAAATGTCACATTATTGTACTTTCGGTATAATTTTAAATATAATTTTCTTTTCTTTTTTTTTACAAATCGTTGCGGTAGGTCTTATTAAATTTAAATATGTAAATGTACAAACTATAGACAACACAATATTATATTAATGAATCAAAATAAGGTTTCAACAATTATGCACCTATGTAATTAATCTTTTTAATTTAAGCTAAATTAATTTTATTATTCATAATTAAAATAAAGAATTCTTAAATACTTTCTTGATACTTAGTTAAAATGTTTTAATTGGTAGATAAAATGTATCTAATTTCGTCAGTGAAGTAGCAGAACACTTTTTTCTAGTTGTATTTTCTTTTGTTAATTAATTGATTACCGATATATAAAAATATTAACATGATTTTTTTTTTTATAAAATATACCATACTATGTTTATTGAATCCATAATAATAAATTACTACTAGTAGTAATTACTTGTATATAATTACTGATACAGTGAAATTAGTTGGTAACTTAACTACTTACGTGTGAGTGCAATAATTGCAGTGCATAGATGCATATAATGAAGAGATAGAAAATTCAACATTACAATAAAAGATGAGTATAAATATGACTTTTATCTTAGAATTTATATTGTTGTTCATTTATATCGCATTTATATTTATTTTATATCGCTGCATCATTCTGCATTTCAGCATTTTTATCAAAATGCACGTGATCAAATCATAATTTTTTTTTACCATAAATTTAATAATTATTAATATATGTATTATTATTATTATTATTATTATTATTTAATATTCGATTATATTGGTGAACATCAATTTTTCAATTTTATTTCATAAATTGTAAAATATCGAATATCATCAAGTACATACTCGGAAAGAGCTGATTTTATCATTGAGAAATTGAACCCCGAACTTCAACCCTTGGAATACAATATAACATTAACAAAATGTGATTCGACTTTTGGCCATGTTTTGGATATGATGTAAGAAGATTTTCCATCTGTTAGAGAGAGTGTACAATGCTCGTCAAATAATTGTGAGCTACGTAAAAAATCAGCACATTCTCTTGTATATTTAACAGATGGTAAAATTAATGACATACAACGACTTTTGGATAACCATCAACGCTCAGAGACGTCTGTATGTGGTCGAATGGTAGGTACGTGATTCAGAAAATATATGCGAGGGAATAAAATAAATAAATTCAGATACATCCGAAATACATATAATAATTGATATTCTATATTGGGAAGGTAAATTAGGTTTTTAATCATGAAGTATTTAACTCATAAAAATGAAACACATTTTTGATTTTAAAAATAATCTGATTTTGAATGTTTGATTATTCAAGGAGAAGCGGATATTTTATCGAACCGTTCATCTGAGGCTGCAGCGCACGTAGACATAAAATTAGCAGAAACCTCTCTACTGTTGCTATATGGTTGAAGAACATATGAACTTAGAGGCGATGTAAGTTTTAAAAAAGGTCGAACTTCGCTAAGAAATTCTATAGGATACTACCACTCATATGCCAAAAGAGGAAAAAATTGGCAGTTATTTGACGATCTAAACAAAAAATCGATTTCAATAAATGAATCGAAAACGGTACCTTGTGAGTTCTTAGTTTATACAATATAATTAAAGTTGTGACATATATTATAAATAATAAAAAAATTGTTTTCAATGTAAAAGGAAAAATATAGAGAATACAAATATTACGTTAATATTATGTTTAATAAATTCAAGTACCTACTTACACAAAACCAATCCTTACAGCTTCAATATAACACTATATTTACCAAATATTAGACATATCCAGGATGAATAAACATACAAATAAAATAATGCAAACCAGGCCACGCATTGATGTTCTTAGATTTATATCGGAAAAACAATGTTGAGACCAAGGCGCTCATAGCCAATATAGGAGGTCAGAGTGGATTGGGCACACATTAACTTACTCTGACACAGGCCCACTCACCCACTACACAAAATTTAATTATTTTTACTAAGTATCAAGAAAGTATTTATGAATTCATTATTTTAATTATAAATAACAAAATTAATTTAGCTTAAATTAAAAAGATTAATTACATAGCTACATAATTTTAGAAACCTTATTTTGATTCATTGATATAATATTGTGTTGTCAATAGTTTGTACATTTACATATTTAAATTTAATAGAACCTACCACAATGATTTGTAAAAAAAAAGAAAAGAAAATCATATTTCAAATTATTTCAAAAGTACAATAATGTGATACTTTTTTCTAAACAAGCACGCAATCTATAAAAGTCTTATTTTATATCTCAATACATTAAGTAATATTGGTGATTACTGAATATGGAAATTTTTGGTCTTGATCCAATATGAAAATCTAGAAGACGGCGAAAAAATGTATGGCGTCAAAAGAAAAATTTTAAAAATGTCATTTTCACATGAGGGGGGGCTGGAGAAATGTCAAAAAAGGAAAAACGATTTTTCCGAGTACATTGGGTGTAGCACAAATTCTGAAAATAGTCACACAAATTCACACTAATGTTTGGCAAAAAAAAATTTCAAAAATTTTATGGGGGGCTGGTGAAATCTACTTTAAAATTTGCTATGTTAAGCACTTGTAAGACGGAGACAACACATGAGGGTATCACGTCCTCTTAAATATTGTCAACCACATAATTTATGCATCAACATTATATGTTTATAAAAAAAAACTAAGTTAGGTACATACAATATAGTGTAACTGTAAGTAATAAGATCAAGTTTAATTAGAAACACAAATTTTAATTTATGCGCATATTATTTTTTTATTATTATTAAATAAAGGATTCGAAGTTTAAGGTTATTAGCCTATACATGGTTTTTTGTTTAATATGTTTTATTCATTTGAAACTTCAAACAATATTAATATTTTTTTTTTTTTTTATTATAAGGCTTCAACTTCAACCCGTAATAATTATAAAGTAATAATCTTACAACTATGGGGGAACATTTTGTTTTACATTAAAGGGAGTATGAGATATATAGGTATTAAGTACAGGTATTTTTTACATTAATTTTGCTAATCCTATGTTAGTGAAAAAGTGGTATATATTTTTGGAGTTCTCTTCGCCAAGTGCTTGTTGCATCGTTGGTGGGTTTCCGATAATTTGTCTGGAGCTGTTGAACTTGGGGCGTTCGAGTATGATGTGTTTTATCGTCAGTTCTTTATCACAGAGTTCGCAGGTCGGGCGGTCTTCTTTGGTTATAAGGTGCAGGTGTGTTGGACGGGAGTGTCCAATCCGATACCTTGTGGTGACTACTTCTTCGTGCCTGGATGATGGTGAGGGGGTTTTCCATGGGTTGATTGATAATTTAATTTCTCTAAGTTTGTTTGTAATATTAATATTATTTTTATCAAAAAATAATAACACCATAAAAAGTTTCTTATTGTGTACTTTTAAAATGTTAAACGAAAATACTTGTAGTACATCATTTAAAAACAACATCGTTTAAACTTTATCCATAATATGATTTATTTTTTTTATATGCTTAAAATACTGATTAACTTAGTGCAACACGAAGGTCAAAATTCTTTGAAATAAGCCCATTTTATGAAAAATCACAAAATAAATATTTATTTTCATAGTTCTAAAAATATAAAAACCCATATAGAAATCAGTGACCTGTTGTTGGCTTGCATGTCACTTAACTCACTTTAGTGCAGGATAGTGAAATCGACATGTTATTACTTATTATGACGTGATATTAATTGACTCAACATTTTTCATTGAATCGGGAAAATAACTATTCTGAACTTAACTATGATAAAACTTCACTAGCTGACATTAGTTTAACATTTTTCTACGATTTTCGGTAGTTTACTTTACGTTTAGAGAAACTACTCAGGCAGATTATCTAGATAAGGTTTCTGTTCTATGCAATAGATACGTACAACTTTATAGCTATTATTAAATAGAAAATACATTAAATGGTGGGCCTTTGAATACCGTGACTTTTTTAGATTTAATTCCTTAAAAATATGTCACAATATCTCAAATATACAATTGAATGATATTTTAGTAGGTGTATGTACAGACTTTACTCTCTGAAATAAATTATGCTTGCTAAAGTATGTAATATAGCTTTTTGAATGAATAGAAGAATATGAATGAATAACTACTAAGATAGTACGCATTATAGTATTATATTATTCATTCTTCCATTAAATAAAAAAAATTACATATTTAGAGTGCTATGCTGTTGATTGTTCAGTAAATTATATAATAATTGAAAGTTGAATTTTCATTTTGGAATAATAATAATTTTTAAATACAAAATTAAATATATTTAAATATACCTAATATCTGAATCATAACATGAATTTTGTAGAATTCTATTTTGTTGAGGATGTAATAATAAAATAAACTATATTTTCTACCAGTGCGATTTATCGAGATCAAACCTAAATGTATTTCAACGCATGGAAATGAGATATAGTTACGTAGGTAGGTATAAATAAATAGTTCAATACACCTGATTATTATCTTATTTATACATCGTACGATGGGTTTAAACATTTTATCCTATAGATATTGCACGTGGAATCAATACAATTTTGTTTTGTATTGATATTTAATGTATTTGAATAAAACCTTTTTTTTTATATATGTAGTAAAGATATTTTGTTTTTTTTTCATGTGTAATATTTGAACTCTTGATAACTTAATCATTTTTTTTTCAATTTATTGATTCATTTAAATTTCTCGGTACCAAAGTGGGCTCTCTTATTCAAGAATCAAAATTGGATTTACCATTTATAAGAGGACAAATGAAAAATGAATGACCATCCGAAAGTTCTTTTGTGAATACACGGGTAGGTACCCTTATTTACCCTACATTTACTAATGTTCAGCTTCTTAGTTACGTGACAGTCTTGTCGAATATAAAATGCAAGCCACTAAATTTGTAACAGTATCCGTTGATGAATTTAACATACAATGCAATTTGATATTACAACATCATAGTTAATATTTTTTTTTGATATTTGTACGATTTAAAAACATAGGTATTATTATGTATCTTAATAATCTAATTAAAAAATGTAACTGAAATACTATAATTGTATAGTTGTTTAATTCTAGGAATTGAGTTATATCCAAAATTTAAATTTCAAAGTTTCCTAAATACGTTCAGTCACACTTTTTTATCTTTGGATAAAATCGTTAAGGGTCTAAAACCAAATTTATAAGTTAATTTGTCTTACGTTTTTCTCTTTGAATTCAACTATTCTACACATACGTTGACGACAACCAGTCATACTTGTTATATGACCGTTCAAAAATGATATTTATTTCCAAGATAGGATTGTCTGGGGGGGGGGTAGTGGTAAAAAATGTTCTGTATTAACTGATGGTCTCTGTCAAATACACTCAATTCCTTTTCCAAAGGTCAAAAGAAGACAACAGTAACAGCTGACCACAAAACAAATACCAGATATTTCACAAGCAGGCGATTTGTTTACACAAAAGAGCTCATTGTCGTTTTGCATACTGAGTACTGACATAGGCCTCATGGGGTGGATTTAAATGCAAAAGAGGCTGTCGATGATGCATTCTGATGGAGTCATAAAAATAATTCGAAAGAACGCAAAAAACACAATACATAATATACCGATAGGCAAAAGGTACAGTTGTTTTGAATTTCAACCACCGCTAGGTTAGTATAACAATGTGTATTCAGATAGTAATTCACTGCCCAATGGATTATGACCAGAAGTTAGAAAAAAACACATCCAACACAAAAATATTACATCAAATATTAAAAACCATGATAACATATTTACCCTAAACAACGTACCAGAATATTATACTATTGTAATAGGTACTATACAAGTATTAGTATATTATTACTTTCATAATAATTTGTAATTAAAATTGTATTAGTGATATTTTCTGAACAATAATGTACACCATAATAAAGGTAGGTATCTAACTATATGCTTACTGTGTTAGTGTTATTTGATTCTAATATTATTTAAACAATCTCGTTAAATCATAATTCATAATTAAAGAAGATAATTTTAAATAGTGATATATAAATTTCTGTTTTAAATTTTTTAAAAATGGATAGTATTTTTCCTACATGCTCGTCCATAATTGTTGATACATATAATAAACGTAACACTGTAACATCTGCTATAACTATACCGGGTGATTCATCTAACGTAAGACAATTATTATTGATTCAAAAATAAATTAACCTTTTTTTCAAAGCTTATGCCAAAGCAGAATATTTGTTGGAGTATTTTGATAAAATATACGAATCGAATATTAGACGAGTATTTAAGGCTTTCTACGTATTTAAAGTTTAAATTAGCGAAGTAGATAGGTACAGGGATACCCTTTAAAATGTTGGTAGATACACTACTTTGTTTATCTCTATACTTGAAATATTTATGTACATAAACTACTTATCCAAAATTTAATTTTTATAGATCAAAATACTCCGAATACTGTTCTGCTTCGGAATATGAAATTCAAAAAGTATGATAATATCATTTAAAAGAGTAAAAGAACTTTAAAAATAATATTGATAAAAATGTAAAAAGTATAACTTTTTTCTAAAAATGTTATTTTGTAATGACTTAAAATAATGTAAGATCCATAATATATTCAAACCTATTATCGTTTGCTGAAGTAATGAGTGTTGTACGTTAATGGATAACTCTGTATAAAAAGAAAAATCCATGTGGGTTTGATTCATAATTATAGCTTTTTTCAATCAAGTATTGTTTATTTGATTCATACAGATTTGATAACATAGTATTTTTAAAACTTATTTTGGTAATACATTTGAAAAATGTAATGTTTTACAATAGTTTTTTTTTTTTTTTTTTTATTATTAAAATATAATTACAATCTATACAAAATTTAGTACAATAAGTAATATTGATATAGTATTTACATAATATCGTGAATGACAGATGGGGGAGGGCACTCAGTAGTGCCACCCGACAGATTATTTTACAATAGTTAAATTAGAAAACTTTTGATGTATCTTTTTAATTAGATATGGTTCAATGATATTTATTTGTTTGTTAATTATACAGAACAATATTCTGGGAAATATTATTGTTATTGATTATGTGTATAAAGTATTTGACAGGTGATGAGGAATATAAGTGACTTAAAAATAGTTTTAATTATATCAACTTTGACAACGTTTTCAACTGATCTAGGATACATATCATTAAGTACTTGAACCAATTGGCTATTTTAGAGATATATATCAGTAATAACGGAAGTGAATCGAATTGTAAACTACCGTTATGAGTTCGTAAAGTCATTTCTGTTGCGAAACACATGGTTTCACTAGAAGGTTAACGATCGAGGAATTTAATCAAATGTTTAGAACTACTTCTTTGAAAGATATTGGATTTATCTCTTGGGTACAATAGCTATATATCGACATACACATAGATTGGCAGAACAACAGTTAATTTAAAGCAGGTGTTTCATAGAGAAAAAAGTGGACACGCTTACTGCAAAAATTAATTTAATCAAATAACCTAAATTGTGTCGAGCGCATAAATAATGTCTTACAAAGACGCAGAGCCGTATTAATAATACTCCTTTATCTTTTTGCACATACATAATGCACAAAAGAGTTCTACATTCTTTGGAAAGGACAATTTCATCACTGTCGGTATATTATAATATAGCCATATATAGGTTATTTTATAGATAATTTTTTTATTATTCGTTATAAACATTGTCTTTGTTTTAATATTTCAAATTTTAGAAATACAATTAATATAGAAGCCATTAAATTAGGTGTCACAAATTAAAAATATTGTAACACAGAAAAATAACTATTGAGTCTTTTAGTTTATAATAGTAATTAGTTTTCAGAAATAATTAGTATTTTCAATTTTAGTTACAATGAATAACATTTTATCGATTTCCATGTTCCATATTTTTAAATTATAACTAGAATAACACATTTGTTATTGTTAAGAGTATACGAAATTGGATAATGTTGAATTGGAAATGAATCGACAAGTTTATTAATCGTCAAATACCTATTTGGATGAAATTTTGATTTTTCTTTGATTGAAACAATTAAATTACCATATTAATCACACATTATATGATAGTACCTACCTATACGTTATTCAAATTTGTATTACTCAGATTTTAATATTATCACAATAAGATAAGTAGGTAATTGTTATTATTTCATATTATTTGCATTATAATCTGTAGTTAACGACAAATTTATGGATAACGCAAATGTTTTACTCAAAAATTGAATGTAGAACTCGGGCGTGTCTGCTGTAATATTATTATACCGGTAATCTATAACACAAATCATATTTTTGACTTGTTAAAATATATAGATAATTATAAATATATATATATACGTCATATAGTATCCCAAAATACCATCGTGTTAGAAGAAACATAATATTAAACGCCAAGAATCAATCATTATGGTATAATAAAAG